GTATTTTTAATCTTGTATTATATAAAGAATGGATGATTGGATTCTTTCCAATTAAAAAGCAAATTCCTGAAAAATGAGGGTTTATTGTGATCGGTTATAAGTTTAGAGCTCAAGTTCCAGTACATCAGGAGCCTTGCAGATGCTGAATGGAATGAAGCAGCACACTCAGAGGCATGTTCTCTATGGCCATATGTTTCAAATACTGTTGCGCTGGTCAGTTGCTCAAGCTAGGTCTTCTGGCATAAAGGTTTTGAGTTATATTGATATTTGTCAGTTACTATGACTTCTTTTTTTTTTTCCCCCTTCAATTGCATCAAACCCTTAAAAAATGGTGGTAAGTGAGAGATCTGCATGCTTTGGAGTTTGTTTAATCTCCGCTTCAGTCTATACAATGCACAAGTCATAATGTTAACACTTTTTCTTAAAACTTCTTCATTCACGTTCACAACTAATTTGGATTTCAGTTTGCTGTTTTTAATCTTTATTTAGTCTAATTTTGTACTTATTTTTCTGTTGTTCTGTTCCCCCTGGTTTCGCTAGGGTTTCGATTCTTTTGTCTGTCCTGCCCTGGGGAGGCTTTTTCAGCAGCTAAATGGCTGTCAAGGAGAGAATTGCATAAAGAAACTTTCCCTCAGCCTCATGGTGTCACCTTTTAGATTATAGATGGGAATGGCAGTGACCATTCCCAGCCTTAGACCTTATGCTAAGTATTCCAGTAGGCATTTTGTTGGCAGCCTTTATTTATAAGCTTGAAGCCCAAAAATTACCTATCTGAAATGAGCATCTAAATATTTTGAGAGGAAAAATGGTTGTTATAGCAAGAGAGAGCTTGTATCTTAATGGTGCAGTTTTATATTTCTGAAGTTCAGCAAAACAAACTCTCAAAGATGTTGCTTATGCTTATAGAAAGCAGAGGTAACCAAGTCTTAAAGCAGAATGGCTTTGGTAGCACTACCGAGTGTGGAGGGGGGGAACTAAGGATTTGCTGTCTGTCCACTCCTGTTAAAAACACTCTTCCCACAGGGTGTACAGAGTACGTAGCGCAGTCTGTTTGAAATCTTGTGTGAATCAAGAGAGACTTGTGGAGGGAAGATGTAGATTTCCTCCACTGTGCTTTGTGTTCCAGTACCTGATGTGTCTCTGTATATCTCCACTGTATATACAACAGCACATTGATGTCTGGTTGTCCTTACTAGTCCTAGTTTTCTCTGTATCTTGTCCGATAGTGTACTGTTGCTGGTAATGGACTCCTGTGGACACTGGTGTGTCGCTAGTTTGTTATTTTGGCTGTAAAGCTATTGGTTTGTGGTTAGTTCTTTCTTTTTTTGAAATATTTTTTTGTTCCGGTCACTGTCTGTGCTAGCGGTGGCTTTGCCTATCCGTTGCCTTGAAGGTACAGGTGGAGTAATGTCCCCTTTGACAGACATTACTCCTAGTGTGTGCTCATGCGGATGCCTACACCGTTTTAAGACTGTAATTTCCATAACTGCTTCATGTGCACTAAGCCCCCTTGTGGAATCCTGCTGCGAGTTTCTGGAAGACTTCAGTGAAAAAAACGACTAGCGGGAGGGCGAACAGCACTTGCTGATTTGCTAAAAATAGCAGGTTGTGAATTGGTCCCCCAAAATAGTTTGACAGGAACGTTAACTTTCTCGATTAATGTTGTACTGCTGCTTAAATGAACTTAATTTCTGTCCTCCGTGTGGCAACTCGGCGGGCAAAAGAACACAAGAATGTTCAATTGGTCATGAAAGAATTAATATTACTCACAGAAACATTACTCAYTGGCAGATTTTTTTTTTTCCAATTCCTCAAAAAGAATATTTTTTTTTCCAGGATTTTTGACAAGACACAGGCAGAACAATGCTGTCAGTCTCCTGTAGCTGAAGTCTGTTGTGTCTAGGGGTTTACAAAACAGCTATTTTTTTTTTCTGGTGTTTTGGGTCCTCTCTTCTTTTAGATGCATGCACAATGCCTGCTGATATCCAAGGACTTCATTTGGGTATTGTAATAAAATRTTGCATTTTCAGCCCCCTCCTAACCTGGTGTAATTAGACACCAAGAAAAACGGGAATATGAAATGGTTGTATGATCCATGGGAAAAGACGAGCRTATGGTATATACCCTGTTCTGTATATACCAATAATTACCCATCAACAGTTGAAGAATGGGTTAAAAATCAATGCAAGAAAACAAACAGCAGGATTTCACAACTAAAATGTTGGTTTGTCTTCTCATCTACTTTATGAGATTGAACCACTGGAACTTGGGGACAAGATGAGTATGACCATATTGCAACAATCTGTCCGCTACAGTTGCAGTTCTTCATGACAAGCATTCAAAGTGTTAACTAAAACCATTGAAGCAACATACTTGCCATTAAAACTTGAATCCAGAAAAATAACTCCATGAATTTTGCACTACCAAAGTGGAATGGCCTTTAATGCTCTAGTTTGGTTTGCTGTTTCAGTTCAGTTGGTGTACAGAACAAAGACTGACTTTCTTTTTTTCTTTTCCTTGTCTTTCACTGGATTGCATCTGACGTCTTGCTGCAGACGATGAACCAGCTGGGCCAATGTAAGTGCACCTTAAGAAAAAAAWATCCTTGAGGTTCCGCAAAGGGATCTGATGGTTTGTGGGAGTTTACACTACTTTAAACCTATGTCACGGTATTGACTGTGACGGTTGGAAGCTTTGATAGTGATCAGCATGCCATGTCCTATGTTGCTACATAAAAGCAAGCAGAATTCTTACTCCAAAGAGCCTGTGAGTTGACCTCTCTTGACTCGTTGTTGGTGCAAGGGAATAAAAGCATAAGGGGAGAAGCCACAACAAAGTCATTGCTGTTGAGTMAAGTGAGTCTCTCATCGCTGCTACTTGGGAACCCTACAACGACTTTTTGTCACTTGTAGGTAACTGGAATAGAGAACAGCAGACGCTTCCAGGAGCTTTGCTGTAAAAACAATGTTGTTGGAAGAGCTGGAAATAGACTTTCATGCTAAAGCAAAGAGTGGTCTCCTGACTGCCTTGCAGAATATATTTGATATAGCATTACAAAAAATAATTAACTGGTCAACTGGAAAAACATGCTACCTCAATTGTACAATGTGAGTAGTAAAACAGAATGATGGATTTTRGGAAGTGAATGTGCTAGGCAAGAAGGTATCAACATAACATGGCTAAAATGCGCTACCTTTAACAATGTAGAGCCAGGAGGGAGGGTTAAATGTTATTTAACAKTATGTACTATCAAAACTTTTCCTACATTTGTGAATGACTTTGCATTTTTTACCTCTTTCTCTAGGAAAACAAATTCTACAAACAATCATAAAGATAAAAACTTACGCCAGAGAAACACAAATTAAAAATGCTTATAATGTAAGTATGAACTGCATGCGCATCAGAAATGGCCAGACTGAAGTCCTCCTTTTTGTGTAGTACTTGGTAGGGATTCCTAAAAGTAAACATAACTTGTCTATGCATTTAAAAAGCTGTCAGCTGTTCAGTCTGTCGCACTAGTCCTGACTTTGTCGCGTTTTGAAGAACACACAGAGTTATGGTGTTTTTTTTTTTGTATAAAATATCAAGGTCTCTTAATGATGCTGTAAATGCAGAACTCTAGGTGCTCGCAAACGTAGCTTAACGAACTATAGCTTAGCATTTTTGGTTGAAACATAGTGCTAAAAAAGCCACCTGCTGCCTTTTAAATCTGGAGGGTAGTTTGAGGGTTTGTTTCTCAGTAAACCAGATATTAAGGACATTGTTCACATACAGTTATGGCACGTGATGCAGAAAATGCTGTCAGTCATTGACTAATGCCTCTTCTCATTTCTTTTTTAGAGCTTTAAGTTTCTGAGAGACTGATGGCAATATGACCTGCTAAATTTAATGGTTGGGACTCTTGGTTCTAGAACTCCAGTTCTATCTTTTTTTTTTTCTTTCTTTTTTTTTTTTCTTTTTCTCTCCTCTCCTTTTCAAGTGAGCAACAATATGACTGTCTAAAGCATGCCTTATTTAGCCTCTCCTGTAAGGATGACCTAGCCAGATAAATTTTAATAATGCTTCAGTGTAGAAGGTGTAAACTATTTTGGGCTTAATGTGCTGTGAATGTTGCTTTTTTTCCTTAATATATTTAAACAGTAGGAGTAGTCAGATCATGCATGCGCCATTTTTTACTTAAGGTAGCTGTTAAATTGGCCAAGCTCTGAAACGCACTACTGCCATCTAGTGAGACTTTTTTGTAAAGTACAGCAAAACTTAAAAATATATACAGTATATATTTATATTTTGGGGGAGGGGGGAAAACCAAAATACAGTAAATGTTTTTCATTTTTAAGCTGCTGATATTCATTCCTTGTGGTATGTCTGAAAGATGAGAGAATTATACTGTTCTGGTACTTAGAGAAGTAATATAAATTGAAATTATCTTAAGGGCTTAACCTATACAGAGAGACTTGGGTGTCCAGCAATCAGAATTCAAAAGCTAGAATGGTTCAACAAAGTGGTGGTGAAATGCAGTAAACTAAAACAAAACTTCAGTTTATAAATATATATATATGATTGCTTTTTAAGTGATTTTTTTTTGTTAAATCATGTAAATTCTCAAATCCTTTTGCACTGATGTGTTCAACATATTCTTGTACATTCAATTCAGGCAAACTTTTATAATTTTCTTTTTTGTTTAAATGATGATGAAATGTTACAGCATGGTGATATTCTATGCAACTAGTTATACTCTTTAGTTTGACACTGTAATTTCTCATGATTTAAAGATTGTAGAAATAGACCTTACAGGGTTCTCATGATGTGCGTAACTGTAGATGCATGAACTTGTGTTCTGTGTATTTGTTGAAGTGCAATGATGTATAAAAAGTGGATTCACCTGTTTTTAAAAATAAAACACTGACAAAACTGTGTGAGATTTTTTTCAGATAATTAACAATATTTAAGCTTGTGTAGCCTGAGTGCTGTATATTCTAGTAGTAATAAGTTAATATTTATCAACCTTCTGTTAGTTTTTTCAATTCCTTCTCCACATCTTCCACAAAAGCTGGGAAATTTTGATCCATGAGACATAAGCGAATAAAAGGCCCCAGCTCTTGTGCACTCCACACAGAATGCCGATACACAAGGGGGAGCTCAGACTTCGATTTCAGCACAGACTGCAAAAGTAAAAACAAAGGTGTTGTATTAACCTTGTACATAAAAGGTAGTATTACATGTTTTTTGTAACGATTCAGTTGCATCAAATTTTTCCCTTCAGTATTTAATAAAGACGCATCTGCCTTGTTAACATGCTGTTTGAATACTTTCAATCGCACACAGTTTCTGTATGYAACGTCTTTTCTAATACTTAGCGCCGCTTCTAATACAGCTTTTATGCAACTTTGAGTTCTGGAGCTTGCAGTTCTTTAAATTGGAAATGTTGGGTTTTTTTGGGTAGCAGTGACTGTGCCTCATGGTGAATCTGTTCTGTGTAACAAAAAAAGGATCTTTATAAAGATTCTGTATGTAATGCTGTTTGAAGAAGAGCTCTGGCAGTTCTAGCTTCCACGACCTTAATGTAGCAAGAGCCCTCTTGCAGAGAATGCATGGGGCTTTTCATAACAACCACTTTTATCCCTATCGAACCACTCTTTTGACACCCCCTCAATTCATATTTTCCCCTCACACCCTCCCCCCCTTTTTTACTGTGGTGTTGATGGGAGGAAGAAAGAAGTATGTGCATGGTCTCACTTTTCAATATAAAACAGCAAAAAGGGAGATTGTCACTTTAACATGCTTGAGGAAGCCTTAACTACCTTCCATTGGATGTAGGAGATGCCAGCTCTTATCCATTTGGATTCATTGGAGAAATGCACAAGTCTAATGGATTGGTAAGAGCAGCAGCACAGTGCTTAGAAGCTGCCTGTGACAACCCCCTGAACTAGCTTGACTAAAACTTTATTTTGGCTGGCTGCCAATTTTCCCTGCAGGAAGTGAGCTAGATTCACAAAAGGGCAACTTTGCTCTTTAAGGGCCCTACTCCAGGCAGGGTTACTGCTCTTTCTAAATGGCATAATTCGTAATACATGCATTAATGTCTCTGAGGCTTTGTGTACAGGAATTTTCCTCATTATTTAGGCTGTATTCTCTACAGCCCTCRCTTCCCACTTGCTCTTTGTTTACCCCTTTCTGCCAAAGTTGTAAGCRGGCGCATCAGTTACTACCAGCGATTTTTGGATACTTTGCATGGAAGAGGAAATAGAAATGAGGAAAGGCTGAAGCTCTTCTTGTCTAATGCAGAGGCAGCTAAAAATCATGGTGAGTGTATGCTCTGGTATTTGGGGGTGGGGGAAACATCTAACACAATTATTCTGTCTCTTATTTTAAAGAATTTCAAAAGCCAATTTTGTCCTTTTTTTAACGTATTGATGTGAGAAAAGCAGGGTGGACTAAGCCTGTCCATCTGAAAAAGTTTAAGTTGTTACAAACTGTTAAATCAGGCCCTCCTTTCCATGGCTTAAACGTGTAACAGGATAGGGCAAGTGCCAGATGGCCTGGGCACGCTAGYGGTTGGAGCATATCTATGTTTGACTGGAGAAGCAGCGGGGAACAGATCCTACTATTTTTGCACATCTTATTATTGGTTCGCAGGGCAGGATCTTTTTTTTTTTCCTCATTTTATAGTCTTGAGTAGAGAAAAACAGCTGTTGGCTATGTTAAAATAAAATCTGATAAAAAGAGAATACTTGAATTAAAGCTTCTTCTACCATTTAAACTGTGATTGAAGGCCTCAGAAAATGTCTCCTGAGCAGGTGGTAGTAGGAAATTTAAATTCTAAAGCACAAATAAGCCAGGTGAAAGGTTATGTTTCTGAAACAGAAATAGAGAAATAAACTCTTCCCTGATTGAGATTATGCATGGGAGATGGGATCCCAACACCAGTTCTGAGTGTCTTTGGGATGCTTTCTCTCTGAGAAAAGTTTTTCTTTTACAATGCAGGAGGTTTTAATTTACCTTTCCAGTATTGCTTCTTAAAGCAAAGCCTAGTTATGAAAAACAGAGTTGCTAAAGGCAAGCTGTGCCTTGTTTGATGACTCTATACTGAATATGGAACCCGGATCTAAACGATGTCCTGGYCAGGAAGGGCATCCCGTGTGTCTTGGGCAACCAATGTCACTTATTCCAGCTGTTCCAGGCACCTGCCCCCTGGTAACATCAGCTCTCAGCAAGGTTTGAGATGGTCCTGTGCCTGTCATTCATGTTGTTGGTAAATCCCATTGGCTGTTACTGCAGACAAATATACTAAACACTGAAATATAGCTGCAAGAAAATGTATTTTTAAGGTGTTGTCAGACTTCAAACTTGCTATGGGCAGGTAACAGCTACAGCTTAAGTCTGCACTCAACTCAGCTGTGCAGCAGTGTGTAGCTATAGATTTCCTAGTAACCTCTTAACATTATGCAGTAGACAGTCAACTTGATTCCTTCCTGCCCCAGTAGTAACTGTCTTATTTGAAAGTAACTGATTATTTGAAATTGCAGATAAAAAAAATAAAAGAGTCTGTTGCTAGAACTAAAACTAAGTGAATGTTGATTTTTTTTCCCTGTAAATAATAATCATACTTCAGCATACCTGGAAGTACTAAAATATAATTCACAGATCTGGATAAGAACAAAATTGTTGGTAGTTGAACAGTAGTACATGTATATAGTTCCTGTCATCAAGATCAACTCAGAAAACTCTACTTTCATTAAAGTAAGATTTTTGGTAAGTCTCTTATAATTAAAAAGCTTTGGGGATTTAGGGACATTCGTAATGAGGCACATAGGAACGGGCCTTTAAACCACTTAGATTAGAAGTGGTGACTAGATCGTTCTATCCCTAGGAAAAAAGGTGTAAGGAAGATCCATCGGAAACTTGCAGAAGCAATTAAAAAAAGTTAGAAACATAGAGGTGTTACCGTGAATTTTAGACAATACGGAAGAAAATAAATAACACTACCATTTTACAATTTTTAACACCCTTTTACCCTGGACTTCTTGTTGAAACTAGCAGTTGAATTATAGGTGCTTTTGATCAGAGTTAAGGATGATTGATATTTTCAAACTTAGCTGTACCTGCACATAACTCCAGAGTGGAACACTGACAAAATCATTTATTTGGATGGATGTGGCATGTGAGTAGTTGCTCTTGGCACAGTTTTTTGTTTTGTTTTTAAGCAACTGTTTGTAGTATGAAATCTTTTTTTATTCTCCTTTTTAGCTTATTTCCTAGGTCTAAATCACTACATAAGATGTTTTGGTTTTCCTTGCATGGCTGTAAGCAAGCAAGCATTTTTGCTGATAGCATCCTGATGCCCACTAAAATCTTCTATCAGATTGTACAAGATATTTTGCTCTCTTTCCTGCCAGAGAAATGAAGTTACAGGACCTAAATATGAGATTTTTACCTGTGCTAGCTGTGTTATAGATCTTCTTTCTCCAAAGCTTGTGCCTGAATTTGTTAAAGGCTGATCTGTCTGAAAATATCAAATGCAAATAAAGGCAAAAAGAGTGTGGGTATGTGCAAGAAGGAATAGAAGTTCCAATTTTAGAGATAACAGGAAGAGAATGTGCTCAGCTACTTGATGTAGTAAAAAGGCTGAAATCTGATTGCACATCTGCTCAGTCTTTAGTTTTAAAACGCGTTTAACTATAGATCCATTGTTTCATAATTTAAAATTTTCATGTCTAAACCAACCAAAGAAAACCTAAAAAATAATATGTATGCTCACCAAAAACATGCTTTTTACTTTAAGGTTCACAGCACCCAAAATATGGTTCAGGTTTGCATTTCTGTATTTGGAGAATGGTTCTAGAGGGAGCATGATTAACAACAGTAGGATTGTTCAGTGGCATTCTGCCCTYAACTTCTTTACCTTCCATTCTTTGTTTTAGCTCATCAGGAAATTGGCAAAGCCCAAAGGAGAGGCATTTTGCTTCAAGCTGAACCCATAATTCTGTGAGATCAGCTGCTGAAGGCTTTCTTTCATGCACCTTCTGGGAAATGGTGTGTGTTAACTTAGCGGTGTATTATTCCCCATTTTCTTTACCAGTACCTTCCAGTAAACTAAGACTTGCCCAGATTCTGTGCTGAAAATAAGACAAATTGAGACTCTGAGGTTCCCTGTCTGGACTTGGTTCTCAATATTTTATCACATGCCCCAGAGCTGTCCTGGCTGAGTTAGATGCAGGGATGTTTTTGAGAGCTAGTGGTCCTCCGGATGCCAAGGCAAGGCCCGTTCCCACTCAGGAATGGGTCACCCTCAGAAACATCATTTGCTTTTCTTAGTTTTCCAAGGATTTTGTATTACATAAGAGAGCATTTTATTGTTACCCTGACATCATTTTAACATATATCAGGTTAAGCAAAAATTGATGCAACTACTGTATTTATAGATTCTATGACTGCAAAAGAGAGGAGTAGGCAAACAAAAAAAGAGAGAAAATTCTTAGTTGCTTGAATGGTTCTGACCATTTTTCCTATCCTGTGATATTTACCTGAAATGTGGCTGGGTGCTTCCCAGCAGTCATGGATAAGGACACTTAGAAAGTGTGGACACATTTTCTTGGTGACTGTTCAGCTCTTATCCTCTGTCCCCTATTCCTATTTATTAACCTAAGCAGAAAGCATCTATTTTACCAAATCATATTCGCCTCTGCTTTAGTGTTAGTAAGTGTCCCTTAGATGTAGCCTTTCTTGTTATTTCTTCAGCAGTAATGATTTCCTATGCTTGCCTGAGCCCTTGCACCAAAAAATTAATTTGCGAGTTATGCATTGCTGTAGTCATTTTTGGCACCCTCTACACAGTTTAGGTATTGTGAAAAAAAAAAAAAAAAAAAAAAAAAAAAAAAAAAAAAAAAAAAAAAAAAAAAAAACCCTTCAGACTTCAACCAGAATCCACCAGCTAAGATGCATGAAAAAATAAAGAGCATTTCCTTGAAAAAGTGGCTTTTTAAAAAACAAAAGGTTTCTTTTTCTTTTTTTTTCTTTTTTTTTYCTTTTTTTTTAGTCCAGTAGTAGCATTTTTAATAAAGAATAGAGGCTGATAATAGTAGTAATAAACAACAAGAAACCCACAGACCTAAAATAATTTCCCTGGAAAAAGACTAGCTGATTAACAGCTAAGACAACCTAACAACCATCAACAGTCAAGCAAATATTGTTTTAACTTGCTTTTAGCAGACTTTAATGATAGTCTGTTGCTCATTTTTCATAGAAGTGTCTAGTAGCTGCAAAAGATTGTTTTGTCAAAGGTGCACTAGTATCATTTATGAATCTAACACAAGGCATTAATTATTTTTACATTTTTGAGTCAATATGCTCTTTCTTACTTACTGTATGTAGCATGGATGAGTTTTGTTCATAGTTCTTCACTTGATTTTCACTATTAGCCAGCTGATTGAGACTTTGATAGAGCATCTGGCTTTGCTCATCCGTTACTTGAACTGGTAAATACTCGGCAAGTTTCTGCACACAATTAGAGCAGTGTTCCAGCATCTGCTCTTTTGAATCTCCTCCAAACTGGACACGGAACATACGGCAYTCGTTCTGCTAAAAGCAAAGAGAAATTAATTTATGATTGATTTTGATTTAATTAAACTTGCATTCATTATCATTAGGGAGAAAGTGAGATTTCTTGGATCACTGCACCAACTTAAATATGAGAAACCCAGTTTCCCTGTTGCATCGTTGTCTGGACTAGTAGATAAACCGAGGAGAACGTTTGATTCCCATTTCTAAAATAAGTGAAATACCTTGCCATGACAASAGGATTTATTTTTCCTAAACACAAATATTGCAGGGAACTTAAGTTATTATTGTTCCAAGTGGTATTCTAAAACAAGACATCAACTCTGACCAGCTATGGGTAATAAAATGAAATGGCACCAAAGTTAGTTAACTTGGTAATTAAGCTAAATATAAGGATTTGTGTTATTGTTCCAGCCCATGGAAAGGGCCAAAAACACATGGAAAAGACCAAAAAAATCAGCTGCAAGTCTACTGCTCTGACAGTAATACTGTCAGGAGTCTGTCAGGAGATACAAGTCTGTATCTCTCTCATTCTTTCTTATCAGTATGAGGTTCTGACTCTCTGCAGCTGAAATATGGCAGATTCTGCMTATACTAGCAATATAGGCTCATGGAGAACATCTTTTCATGATTTAATAAAATATATCATTCCTTAAGGTTGTGAAGTAATATTAAAAACTAAACAAAAATACTGGGCCGAGTTAACCTCCAATGCAGGTTGTTGTGCTATATAATAATAAAAATTTCTGCAAAAGTTTGAGCTCTAGCAAACTGCACTGAAAATGGAGGGTTGAAAGGGCTGTAGTGCATCATAAGCGTGTCCTAATGACAACCGAATRAGAACAAAGAACAAAAAGGTAAAATAAATGATGGCTAGTAAAATATTTAGTTGCATATGCTCTGTCATCACCTTGTACACTCAGAACTGTGTTTGATTCTTTGCTTTATAGTACCTTTAGTACTAACATCTACCAAAGATGAAACCTAGGGAGTTATGTGCTGTAGCTGACTTCCTGAAACATTCTTAAATGTTTTTAAGGATTGGCACAGAAACTATATATACATGGAGAGCATTTCAGGGATTCTTCCAGCCACCGTTTAGGTTAGAAAGTAGAGAAACCACTGGACCACTGTAATACCACTAAATCCATTTTAAGTTGTGAGAATATATGGTAAACAAGCATTTGGATCGATTGACTTCATTTAATGCTGAGTGAAAAGTCCCTCAAAACTTTGTCCAAGTCTCAAAATGATTGTGAGGTTGATTTTGATGTTTTTTTTTTCTGGGGTGCAGCAGAATCCCTTAACACTGTGGTGGGGAGCTGCTTTTAACTGTTTTGTTTACTGAATCTGATTCATCTAAACTAATTCCTGCAGCAGCTCCATAGTCTACTCTCCAGTAATGCTCCAGATTGTTAAGCAATCTGACAAAAAAATAAAAGCAAAACTATTGTGGTTTCAGGCTAGAAGAACCCATGAAATTAAAACAGGTTGAGATATTTATTTTTGCATTTCCTACTGCTCCTATCAAGGCTAGACTTATTTTGAAATGAGATGATGACTTTTTATTTGAAAAATAGGTATTATGCCTCACATCTGTTTATATTTTGCAATTAGCAAAGCATTCCTCTCTGCAAACTGTAGTGTTTTGTTTGTATCATCTTTTATAAAACATATAAAACTGTATAATTAGCCAGAGTAAACAGGCATAGGTGCAGTTTTCTGCTACCCTTGCTGTTGCAATTATCTATGATTATAATAACCCAGTCTATACCTCCCACAAGAGCTCCTGGCAGGGAGAACTGCTAGAACAGCTTGAATACGGGGGATGTTTTTATGCCTTAATAGTCTGGTGAACGATGGCAGGAGCTAAAAACTTGTCTCTAGTAGCTACTAAACAAAAGGCTTAACGGCTCTTGCAGAATTAATGTTTCTAACTTAAAAATGAATTCTCTTGTCCAGTACAAAGAGTTAAACTGAAGGCAGCAGTTTCTCCTGCAACAACAAAACCTAAAAAGTATCAGGGGAGCAGTGAGAGTTGTTCTCATTTTGAAACCATCTTTGTTTCTGAATAACCTGTCAAGTGCTCAGCAGAGCCAAATAAGTAGCCTTCCAGAGTTCATTTAAGAACTAAGAAAACTGAGATTTTATACATAAGTTAGTACACAAGGAAGTACCATTTAATTATTTAAAAGCTAACCAATCATTTTTCATGAAATTTGAGGGTAAGGCCAGAAGTCCAGGCCTCTCTCATTAGCTTCAACACCAGATGCCTTAATCAGACACTACTATGCCCAGCCTCAGGGGCCAGGAAATGACTGTGTAGATATTCAGCTGGCCAGGGTGAGGTCCCAGAATGGAAATACCAGTTCTCTGAGATGTAACCCGGATGGCAAGTGTGAGAAAGAACAGGAATACATACAAAACTAATCCATCTTTCACACGTTCTCAAGCAAAGAAATGTTTAAATTTAATTGTCAGTGTAGGAGATGTTGTATATGCAGTTCAAAATGATTGATAAGCAGCATCTAAGAATGTAAGCCACAAGTAGGAATCTCTTAATTTTTTTATTGGTTAGCAGTGTGGCTGTCAGCATGTGGGCCTATTTTCAGATTTTATACATTCAGACGAGCAAATTCTAAGTAAAAGCAGACTGGATATTTTAATTGCTTACTCTTAGAAAGTAGTCCCTATGACTCAAATAGTAGGAGCTTTCTACAGAACTGTCATGACTATTGGAAATAATTAGAAGCAGCTCTACTGACCTTTGACTTTGCCCCAAACAGCAAGCAGTCTGCTCTTCTTACTATTTTCAACCATTTGTGGGAATCAATTAATGAGAAGCCTTCCTGAAATGAAGCAGAAGGCAGTCTATTTAAACAGTGAATATACAACACTCAGAAGTAAACAAAAGGTCAAGTTATTTAACAAAATTTCATTTCTCAATGAAATTGAGCTCATTTATATCTATATATCTTTGGCTCTTATTCTGCTGTATTAAACATACCAAGATTCCCTATGACCTCCCCACGGAGGGTGGGGAGTCTCATGGGGCCATCAGTGCAGAGTCACACATCATGCGAATTCCAGACTACAGTGATATAGCTTCCTTTGCTAAAGAACCAGCAAGCAATAGTTATCACATACTTCAAAAGAGCTAATACTTAACATTTCAGAAATAACCAACAACTACAAATTTWAAATATTTTTCAGTTACCTGAAAAATTTACTATCTGTAAACCTAATGGAAAATTACACGGAAAACATAAAATTGACAATACTTATTTTTTTAACCACACTCTGCATTAAATTAGAATCTATAGTTCTAGCAACAGCACTTTATCAGGGTACATTTTAATTTCCATATATATTTCAGAGTGTATATATTATGAAAGTCTCCTTGACATGCAAAATAAAACAGTTGCAACCAACAGTTTTAAATTCTCCTCTTGCATCCATGAAGTTACTGAGAAGAGCAGCAGAGGGCAGACAACCCTGGAGAAGAGGACAGCAATTGCTTATCCAAGACCTAAATAGACATTTTCTTCAGGCAGAATTCAGGTAAACAAGCAGAAGTCTTTATAACTTCATAATGATATTTTTATACTTCATTTGTGTTAACTGGTGGTCTTTTTCAAACAAGGCAGACCACTTAGCATTCTGTAAAAATATCCCAGGAATCTGAAAACATCACATAAACATTGCAGGGCAATGGACTAAGTTATTGCACAGACTGACACATGGTCATCATTTGTCAAAGTTGAAAGGCTAGAWAGAATATCCTTGCCTGTTTCATTTTTTATGAACTAATAATGCTTTTCAGCTGCTGTATTTTTCATAAAAATTYGCAAGTCATGCAAATCCTGAAGCACCAGATTGTATTTTTGCCAGAATCAATATCTGTCCCACCCTGGTTCAGGCTGGGATGCCGCCTGCCATTCTGCTTTCTAACAAGGAAGACACTACCCTTTTACTGTGCTGGCTCTACAGCCTCACCCAGCAGTTGCATGTGGACCTTAACTGGGCTTTGAGAGGGATGTCTAAGAAACACTGATGGCTGAAACTGAAGGCAAACTGGCTCAAGGACTCATTGTTGAGCACCTATTTACTGCTACAGACTCCAGAACGGTAAGAACATGCAAGTATCAGCCCCAAAAGATTTAAGGTCAGAGGAGGAAAACTTGCCTGTGCACTGTTTTTGGAAAAGCCTCGACAGCAGGTTAGGCAGGGCAGTCACTTGGCAGAACTGAGTGCACTCAAAATGCTGCAAGGCGGAAATTGCTGAGATGTGAAAGGCCTCAAGGTCAGAAGAATAAGATGACCTCACTTCATGATGGAAGGAAAGTGCCAGGCCATCCTCTACGCTTACAGGAATTATTTAAAGGAACTTGGATCTTAATAGAGATTCTCACTAGAAGAGAACATCTTGTTTGGTAAGTCAGYATTGCACAGCCACAGTACACGATGCAATTAGATTGCTGAAACAGTGGAGCAGGAGGCTGKGTCCACCACCCTAAAGGCAATGTCCTTCCCTATAGACAAAATCCTCTCCAGTCTAGGGTCACTGTCCCGAAGACAAACCAGTAAAGTGGCAATAACTGCAGAAAACAAGGCAGCAGAAACRGCAAACAAATAAGATAGATCCAGAAATGATTCTCAAACCAAATCAGGATAAGTGCCAGCAAGCTAGCTGCCATAAATATAACACTGTAATGCAAATAGACATTGCAATAAGTTTTATCACAATTCAGCTGCAAATTCAGAAAGGCTGTAGCTCCCATATTGCTGCAGGAGATTTTTTTATACTTATTTTCACTTTTCAGCTCTCGAAGAGTCATATAGCACACGTAGCTCCCAAGTGTGTACAATATCTCCATGATGAAATGCACTAAAAGCTGAGAAAACCTCAGCAAAATTTAGCATCTTATTAAAGTTGCCCAGCAGACCTTGTTAATATGTAATGATAAGCACTACTATGAAGAATAAAATAAGAGTGAAAGTAACAGTAAGCATATAGTGGCATAGGTTTCATGGCATGTAGACTGAGAAGCTAATTTAGGTAGCTAATCCACAGCAAGACTCATGCTGCCACATATTTTTTCAACAGGGTAATGAGTTTGCATAGCAGTAGTACATCCTCCAGGCTAAAATTTCACCTCTGGATTTAACACTACAGTTGTTGGGAAAAAAAAATTGAAGAGATGCTTGTGCTTAGCATGGCAATACTTCACCTGAGGTCAACACCACCTGCAGCCATTACTGGTGTGATGTCTTAGTACATGGTTGCACAAAATAAAAAAAAATAAAAAAAAAAAAAAAAAAGGAAAATTTGATTTTTGTGCACTGGAAGTAATTTAAAGGTATACTTAACAGTCACGTCTATCTACAGCAATTAGCAGCCAGTGCTATGTTTATTGTCAATGTAAAGGAGCCAGGCAAGGAAAATGGAATTGAAATTATATGAGTAAGGTACAGCCTATAATGCATTCAAGGTGGAGAACTGGTTGCAGAAAGGGAAGCAGAAGAGCTTAAGCGGGGTAGGAGATAGATTCTCACATCAGAGCAGAGAGAAATACATTTAAAATTGGAATTTATAAAGGAAAAAAAAAAACAAAACAAAAAGTCAAAATACTGTCCCAGGGTTTATGAGCCTTCTAGTTTAAGCCTCAAGGCTTATAAAAGTGACATGGAGAGTAAACATTATCACTGTTTAGAATGCACTAGAGCAAGTGTGTTTGCATTTATTTTTTTGAAACAAATGCAAAACAACATGAGGTGAATTCCCTCTCAGCACAAGGTGTTGATTTCCCAGATCTCAAGGAATAAACATTAGACAATTTTAACTTGACAAGATTCATGAGAACATCCACACCATACAGGACAGTTCAGAACCACTTACCCTGGACAGGCATCCAGGCTGAGCACTGGGCAACCAACCTAGCAAGTCATTTGTGTCAGACTACGAGCAATGCCTGATACTGGAAACTCCCCCTTTGCCCCTTCCTCTCCCAGTGTTTCCACTCGCAAGTCCCAAAAAGCTGTTGGTGAAGCAATTCCAATATCCCTTTTTTTAACTTAGGCCACTTTCAGTAATTTGTAGCACTCTGTACATCTCAAATACTGCTTTTGATACACACCAACTATGTATATTTAAAATAGCTGTTCCCATATTAAGTTTAATTTTACAGTATTTTTCCTTTCATTGCAAGACATAGAAAAATGTTTTCTCTTTAAAATACCGTTTTCAAAGAGATCATAAATTGCAGATAACATTTAATTTTCCTGCCAGCTACTTCACTGACATTTCCCAGGTTGCCATTCTTTTCTATCTCCTTTCTCTAAGGTAAAGCAAATTGGAAAAACAAACAAATAAAAAAAAAAAGAATGTTTACTTACATACTCTAATTATTCACTTCCAAGAGCAGAATTTAATTAACTGAAATTTGACTTTAATTAGCTAACTGAAGAACAAAGCACAAAGTTTTTCCTTTACTCTTGCACTCTTGGTTGATTCCATATTGCCAAGGAAAAACAAATAGAAACCTAAGAATAGCATAACCCAAAAGGGAGTGCCTCCATGCAATACTCAAGCAATACAATAGAACTCGTCTGCAAAAAAGCTGCCTGGAAAGTTATGGACAAACTCAGGTGTGCAGAACTACTCAGACGAAACGCTGTCATTAAATTGTTTACACCATTAAGTGACACTACAATCAAGATCCTCTAGATTTTCTCAGTTTTAAGCAGCAAATAAGCCTGATTTAGCACAATATTAAGAAGCTCTATTCTGTTCCTCATAGCTTTTTGGGYATTACCTAAGTCTAAGTATTTGCTGCCTCTTGAGATAGGACAAAATAATGATGATATCCGTTTCATTCTTAGTGAGAGAATTATGAATCAGCATATGAAGTTAAATAAACAAATTCAGGGCAACCAAGAAGAAGACCACAACAAATCTGTCCTCTGCTCCATTATTCAAAAGCTAGAGAATTAAATCATCTCTGCCATCATGCAGGAAGTATGAGGAAGATTCTGGAAATCAGATGGCAACATTATATTCAAACCACCAGAAAGACAAGAACAAGGATAGCTGTGGTCTCTGCACCACAACATCAAAATCTGTGTAACATGAGTTTTGTGCCCAGAGTTGGGCTTTGCTGAGCAATACTGGGAAAGAGAAAGGAGAAGCAGCAGTATAGGAATAATCAGGAACATAGACAGAATGGCAACATGGAACTAACTGGTAAGGAAAAGATCCCAAATGTTTATGATCTGGAGATATAAAAGGGTGCTTTTTTTCCTAAGAACATTAGCATTCAATCATGCATATAGTCCTCATCTTGTTTTCCAGGGTGGTAGTAGCAGTAACACTACATTAAAGCAAAAGAATTTTATATTTTCTCTAGTAAAAATGTTAAGCATCTCATAGTCCTAGAGAGAAATAAAGCTGAGGTAGGAAACGTTTCCCAAATATTTTGAAATGTGGACAAGTCAACCACAACTCACATCTGGCAGAGAAATCAGTAAGGCTGATCTAGCTTTATACGTTTCTGGACCATCGCTAATTTAGAAATGCTTTTGTTCTGCTTTTATACTTTTGCATTCAAGAAGCTATCGAATAATGAGGCCTGTCTATGATATGTATTACATAGTATTGCCTACTATTATTAACATTTCTATGATATTATCTAGCCACCTCAAATGAGGTGCTAAACAATATGTGAACACAGAAAAAGATTATTTATTCTATGTTTAAATGCAAGGTAGTTAGGCAAACTTAACTGCAAGGCAAAGTTTGCAAGCCAAAGCATTTCCTTCAATATATATTACCCTTTTTTTGTATAGCAAA